TCTCTCTCTCTCTCTCTCTCTCTCTCTCTCTCTCTCTCTCTCTCTCTCTCTCTCTCATATGTGTAGAGACCACTGCTCAATTTTAGGTATCTTCTCCTGTGGCACTCTACCTTGTTTTTGAGGCAGGGTCTCTCACTGAACCAGAGCTTGCTAGCCTGGATGTCCAGCGAGGCCCCAGGAGCTACCCTCACCCTAGCACTGAGGTGACAGATACATGATGCCGTACTTGATTTTTTCTGTAGGTGCTCAGGTCTCTGCACTTGTTCAACAAGCACTCTACCTGCTGAGTCATCTCCCTAGCTCCAGTGTCAGTCTACTACCCATTGCTGGGACAAAACACTAGGACACGTTCCTTTTAGCTCACAGTTTTCTTTTTTTTTTTTTTTTTTTTTTTGGTTTTTCGAGACAGGGTTTCTCTGTGTAGTTCTGGCTGTCCTGGAACTTACTCTGTAGACCAGGCTAGCCTCAAACTCAGAAATCCGCCTGCCTCTGCCTCCCAAGTGCTGGGATTAAAGGTGTGTACCACCACCGCCCAGCTAGCTCACAGTTTTCAAGGCTCCAGGCTGCCATCAGCTGGACCCACTACTTTTAGTAAGGGTGATAACAGAGCAGACTACTCTTTTTACAGTACAACCATTGCTACATACAAGAAGGAGAAAGAGAGGGATGGGGCTGAAGGCAAGATACAGCCTTCTGGCATGCAAATCTCCAAAAACCACTTCCTCTAACTGTCCTCCGTCTCTTATGGCGTCCAGAGCCTCTGTGAAGTCTGTTGAGCTATAATCCGTCAGAGGACTGAGCCTCTGATAAACTTAGAGCTCCCATGACTCAATCACCCTGAACACCGCTGCATGGGCCTTTTGTTAAGATATGTAACACATCTGACAAGCGGAAACATGAGAGCGAAGCTCTGAGATCCAATTGGGGAAATTAATATCTTTTTTCAAAATTAGGAGAGAAGATATGGTTCCTCTCCTTCCAAGAATTTCCTTGCATCCTCTCCCCTGGATCCTTTTCTGGATTCGGAGTCTATACTTGGCCTGGTGAGCAAAGAATCAGAACCAAAGAGGCAGTCTACATATCTCACCGCAATTACTGTGAAATGCTGCTGGCCTAGAGCCTACTCACTGTAGTAAGCACTAAGGGGTTAAGTAGATAGTGCTCTTAGCATTGTAAGATAATCATAGGAACAAGAATATTAGACACAACAGTTACGGGCATTCCGAGTCTGATGGTGAAGCCTCAGACTTTTAAGCCTCTGTGATCCTTGGTGCCTCATCAGAAATGTCAATATTAACAGTCTTGCCTTATGGGTGGTGGGCTCCATCCATGTGCCTGGCCAATTGGAAACCCTTTTATTTTAGTGTGTGTATACAGGGATATAAGTTGGGGGTGTGTGTGTGTGTGTGTGTGTGTGTGTGTGTGTGTGTGTTCCTCACATACCACAGAGTATGCGTGGAGGTCAGAGGACAACTTTATGGAGTCTGTTCTGCTACCTTTTTGTGGGTTCTGGAAATTCAATGCGGATCATTGAAATCATGTGGCTAAAACATTTACCCACTGTGTCCATCCGTCAGCCCTCCACCTTTTGTTTTGTGACAGGGTCTCTCACTAAACCAAGAGTTCACCAATTCAGCATGACTGTCTGGTCAGCCAGTCTCAGGGATCCTCCTGTCTCTACTTCCCAGCCCTCTCATTACAGGCAGCCATCACCATCACTGTACTAAGCTTTTTATGTGAATAGTGGAGATCTGAGCTCAAATCCTCATGCTTAACAGCAAGTGTTTTACCCACAAAGCCACCTTTCCACCCCCAGAAACACGTAATAAGCATCAGCTATTATGGTTATGTGCCCAAGCTTCACAGGTACATATGCATATATATTTCATAGATGGCCTTTTCTCATCTTACAGTGACCTCTCTGAGAAGCAAGCCTGGCCCTGTCTGATTCTCCCCTTCTTGCTTTGTTCTGCATGGCACTGTGCCTCACCTCCCTGCCTCTGTCTTTGCAGACAGGGAAGAGGAAACACAGGCATAATTCCTTGCTGTGCTGTGAGACATTCTGAATACCGTTTGTCATTTATAAGAACTGACAGAGTCATTAGCTGCCCCAGAGATTGGTTAATTGGCTAGTTAATAAACACCCGCAATGATTAACAAACACACACAATGAGTTGAGTCAAGTTTATGCTGGAGAAAGAAAGAAAGCAAGCAAAATGCTAATGGCTTTCTCTGTGGATCTGAGCGACCCACACTGGGGGTATGGGGATGGGTCATGAGGGAAGAGAGAACTGGAGGGGCCTGTGGTCAGGATTGACAGGCTGGAGACAAGAGAATACCCCCGATGTCCAGAGTGGAATGTTGGCTCCTTGTTCACCAGAGTGGCTGCAAGTGAAACTCTCATATGTACTCATCTGTCAAATAGGGAAATAAATCAAATGCTTCAGTTCTGTTTCCCTTATCCCTCACTGAGGGCAGGTTAGGCAGAGATCCCTCAGGCTCTCATGTTTCCTTGTTCTAAGACGGCAACGGCATGAGATATCTGAAAAGCATCGTGTTTTAGCCTCTTTGTTCTTATCGTATCTATTTATTAGCTGTCATCTCTGATATGTTAGCTGTGGGTCACTCCAACAAATACCTGAGACAAACCTCTGTGTGTGTGTGTGTGTGTGTGTGTGTGTGTGTGTGTGTGTGTGTAGACCTCAAGCATACTAAGAAAGTTCTCTACCAATGAGCTGCCTCCCTTGCCTTACTTTGAGGGGAAGTCTTGCTCAGTTTCTCAAGTTGGCTTTGAATGTGCCGTATATTCCAGACAGGTCTTGAACCTGCAACCCTATTTCTACCTTCCTCCATCCCACGTAGTTGAAACCACAGGTGTTTACCCCAATGCCTGCCATAAATCAACTCTTAAGGAAAAGAAATGTATTGGTGGATATTGATTCTGAGGTATCAGGACGTGGTTAGTCGGCTCGGATGTTTGGGGATCTGGGTGAGACGGAACACGAGCGGTGTTGGGTAGGACATGGGAAGACAATACTGCTCTCTTCATAGTGACTAGGAAACAGAGAGAAAAGGGCCCAGCTCCTAAAATCCCCTTCTAAGGCACACACCCAATGACCTAACTTCCCCCCCTCTGGGCTCAAAAGTTCTAACCCCTCTCCTACCAATGGCAGAGGTGTGTGTGTGTGTGTACATGTGTGTGTGTGCATGTCTGTGTGTGTGTGTGTGTGCATGTCTGTGTGTGTGTCTCTATGTCTGTGTGTGTGTGTGTGTGTGTGTGTGTGTGTGCCTATGTGCTGGAAATTAGACATACTAGGAAAGCACACTACCACTGAACTCTAGTCCCAGCCCCAGGTCTATCTTTTAACGCATGGGTCTCCCAAGGACTCTTAAGATCCAAACTACAACAACTAGTCTCTTTTTTTTACCCTACATGAATCAGCTGTTGGGCCTCTATGCACAGTTGCTGATGAGCAGGGAATTATATACAACATGGAGTTGCAGACCCAGCCTGGGCCCCAGTAACACTCTCCCCTTGGCTCAGGGCCGTGTCTATTTTCACAGGAGCTTTTCGAGGCGTGTGCAAGAAAATCGATCACTTCCCGGAAGATGCAGACTATGAACAGGATACAGCAGAATATCTTCTACGTAAGTCCCCCTACCTCTCCAATCTCTCAAGAAGGGAGGAGTGGGTCCACTACCATCACCCACTTACCTATGAGTGTGAGGCTCCTCATTATCCTCCTCAAAGTGTAGACATACATTCCCCAAGGCTCTGATGTTAAAGTTTCTTTCATTTCGAAATAGAAAAGAAAAAATGAATTGAAAGGTTCTTTTTAGTCTCCTTAGAAGATAATCCAAGGAATTTTCTTCCACTCAGTTTTCACCTTTCCCAGTGGGTGATGTGAGGTGCTAATGGCAAAGTGCTAATGGGTGAGGTGCTAATGGGTGAGGTGCTAGTGGGTGGGGTCCCCAAGGGCAAGGCCTGGCAAGATAAATACAAACCAAAGTTCACCTCTCCTTTGACATCTCTTCAGTTCCAATCCTATTGGGACAGAAACAGTGTTTCTGTAGGAACTTTCCAAGAGAACCAGTGCAGTTTGGGGCTGGAATATGATAGGCCAAGCTTTGACCCTATTGGACTCTCTCCTCCTCAAGAGGTTGGTCGTGAGACAAGACAGTTCACTATCTTAATTTTCTTCATCTGTTTTGAAATGGAAATTATAGTGTCAACAATCTGACAAGGTCACAAAAAATACATATGAGAATGTACAGTACACTCAGCCCTGGACTGAGCAGGTAATCATGCTGTGGTGTATATTTCAGTTCTGGCCTGTTACACAGGATTACAGAGGCAGATACAGGTGGGCCTTACAATGGTCCAGGCACAGAAAGCTTAGCTTTGAATGCCAGTGTCACTTCACTAAGAACAAGTGTCAAGTTTAGACAGTAGGAAAATCCCAATGACTTGCCTAATTTGCTATTTAGGAATGTTAAGTTTATGAGAATTTTTTTAATACTGAAGTTATAAATTAAACTTCCAAGAAATTGTCTTATTCAGATTTTGCAACTCAGAGTATCTTGGCGGCCAAAGTGGGTAGAAGATGGGCTTAGGGTCAATCCAGGGGTGAAGGGGGAGTGGAAGTTAGGAAGAAAGGAAGTAGAAAACAAGCAACAGGTGGGCTGGAGGGAGGGACGGAGGGAAGGAGGAGGGGAAGGAAGAAGGGAGGGAAAAAAAGGAAAGAGGAAGGGAGGTTGAAGTATGGGGGATGGCATGTGAACAGGACTCCCTCAAAACACAATGGCTTTGAAGTCAATACCAATGGGATTCCCCCAGAATCTTTGTTTTTCTTTCCTGCTTGGAAGAAACAGTTTTATACCCTGCCCTACTGGACACTAAGCAGAGCCACGGCTTTCAAGCCACAACCAGCAAAGCCAATTTTAAATTCTTTGGAGAGCTTGATTGTTTTTCTGACTATTTTCTTCCCTCCTTCTGGGGAGGGAGAGTCCTCTGCTCCTTCATTCTCCCCTCAGCACCCAACAGCAGCTTCACCAACAGCCACAGAATTCGAAATTTAAGCATGGGCCTTTGCAAGTGCATAGGTTTCTTGCCAGGAATTTTAGAAACTTGGTCTCAGTCTCTTCTCTTGTTCATTGCTGTGACAAAATATCCTGATTCAAAAGGAATTTAGGCAAAAAGGGTTTAGCTCACAGTTCAACTGATAGTCCCCCATCACAGGGAGGTAGAGACAACTGGTCACATGACATCCATGATCAGGGGAATAAGAGGGGAATGAACAGATGCTGTTGCCCAGCCCCCCTCTTAGACTTGAGTGCAGGTAGCTGTTTAAACCCCTGTGTCTTAGTTCCATCCCCAGCTGCTGCTGCCACAATGGAATATTGCCTGCATAATTCATACAGAAGAGAAGCTTCTTTGGTTGACAGTTTGGGAAGCTAGGAAGCCTGTGAACATGGTTCTGAGCCAATGGCTTGGGCTATCTTGCTGCATAATAAAGTACCAGAGGATGTCACTCAGAAAAATGAAACAAGTCTGTCATCTCCAGTTTCCCTCCCTCTCCTAGCCACCAATGGCCCCACCCTCTGAAGTCATCTAATTCCAGGTACCTCTCAAAGACTTCACCTACAAATGCCATGAGCAGATTTCTAGACTAAGTCTCCAGCACAATTTTGAGGGCCATGGTTAACCCATGGCATCATAGAAGACTAATTAATAAGGCCTAAGTCCTATTGACTGAAGACATTCCATAACATAATATGAAGGGCAGCACAGTCCAACTCTTTCCAACGATGAAAGTACACTCAAATCAGCTTACCTCTGACTCTCAAGACCTGAACTCAGCCCCTGAGAGCTCAGGTGGTCAGGGTTTCTAGAACCTACATAAATCTTGCTTGTGGGCAGAGAGAAGACTGCGACTGTGGCATGGTGAAAAAAGCCTCACCATTCTTTAGACAAGAGCAGAAAAATGACAAGTTTTTACTATGCTGCAGGTAACACAGTAAGAACAATTGCCTGCATGAGATGCTGGGCTGCTTGGGATGGGGGTGGAGGTCTTCTTTTTGGAGCTGGCCTCATTTGGCTTGGAACAGGGTAAGAAGCCACTACCACCCAATCCTGTCCTGCATTCTCCACAATGCAAATGAGGGCAAATCCGATTGGTCTGTGTGCAATCCTAGACCGATGAGACTTACTGGAGGAATTACAATTAACAGTTCATTGCCCACCATTCTGCCAGAGGAAGCTCTCAGTTTCCTGTGTTAAGGATGCTGTTTGGACCAAGCTGGCTTTGCAGGCCGGCTCCATTTCTGGTCTTAATTGTCACCCTTCTCCTACACATAGCACATACTCACTGCTTCAGCTACATCTTTGGGGTGTGTGTGTGTGTGTGTGTGGTGGGGCTTCACTTGTAACCGGCAACAAACAAGTTCTATGTCACTGAGCTGTCTCCACTCCTGCCCTTTTTCCTTTTTCTCTTTTTTCTTTTTCCTTTTTTTTTTTTTTTTAAGCAGGATCTCATTAATTTACCCTGGCTGGCCTTGAAGTAACCTTGTAGCTCAATCAGGCTTTAAACTTGTGTTCCTCCTGCTTCAGCCTCCTTGCTAGAATGCATAACAAGCCTACGCTACCAGGCCAGTCCAAATATACACTTTTATAATCAACCTTATCACTTCTAATGTCCTTGGGGGCATATTTCAAAGGTTAATCATTTTTTTAATTAAAAAATTCTTTTAATCAAATAAAATCATTACACTCAATATTCAAGCAAACCCTGCCAACTCACAATGCAAATGGTCTCCTTAAAGGTCGATTCACAGACAGGCAAAATGGCTCAGACTCCGAGTTCCCACCCCTTTAATACAGCTCCTCATATTATAGTGACCCCCAACCATAAAACTATTTTGATGCTACTTCATAACTGTGATTTTGCTAGTGTTTCAAATTGTAATGCAAACATCTGATATGCAGGATATCTGATGTGCAACACTCAAGTGGGGGGTCTCGACCCACAGGTTGAGAACCTCAGATTCCTCAGTTACCGGTGCCTGCCTCTAAGGCTGACACCATGAGCTCCATCCCAGAACCCACATGGTGGAAGGAGAGAACTGACTGTTACAAAGTGCATTCTGACCCCCAAACACACACAAATTTTTTTTTGTGGGGTTTGGGCCAAGAGTCCATTTGAAAACCCACACATGAAACAAGGAAAATTTCAGGAATTATTTGATGAATTGCTCCCAAGGCTGGACACACTAAGCTACACCCCATACTCTGGATACTCCAGCCAGCTTACTGGGGATCACAGACTACCTGAGGACCAAAATTACCATGGTCATCCTCTCTACTTCCTGAGAGTATTGAGGTGAAGGGGAACCCTCTCCCACTGCACCTTCTGAAGCTTTACTGGAATGAACCAGCAATAAACACGCTAGATTGAGAAAGAAGCTTACAAATGTGTGAATGTGGAGGGAAAAAAAGGAGGAAGTCACATAATGTTTGAAGGTCACCAAAGCATAGATACAGATCTAACATGATTTAGGAACCTATAGACTCCTTTCTTCCATAGGGGAAGGAGAGAATGGGGAAAGTAAATAGCTCTCCTCGAAGCCCATGGGCCTATTACACAGGCAATGACCCAGGACAAACTCAGACACCTGAGACACACATGGCTTGTAAGTGATTGTCTGTGGAATGGAAGTGGAGGCAGCCATGGGTGACAAACAGAAGTCTGTCCAGGTGTGTCGGCAGACTGCGCTCATCCTGCGAAATGAGTTCAGGTGATAGAGACTCAGGGAAGGGACTAGAGTAATTGCATCCTCTTAGGCAGGTCCAGCCTTAGGGCAGATAAGAGAATTTCACAGAAAAGCTCTGCTTGCACTTGAAGCCAGAGGATGAAGCTGGGATACTGAGGATGACCAAGGTCAGAAACACCTTGACACTGAACCCGCTTTTTTAAAGCTTTTTCATTTACTTTAAATCAAATTACTCAGCATGTCAAAACAAAGCAAAACCCCACTATATTTTCAGGTTCTCATTTTCTGAGTCCCCAGCACAACCCAGGGCAGTTCCAAAGACAGCCAGGGCAGGCCACAAGCTCAGAGGTGACTGAACTAATCTGGTCCTTCCAGGGCTCAGAATCCCCTCCTCATGCCTCTTGTTTCTCAACCAGTTTTTCAGGCAGTTTGACATCTCTCCTAAAATGTCACCATGGGAGCAGCGGAATGGGAAGGACACAGCTATCCAGGACCACGAACTGCCCAGGCCTCTAGCCTGAGACATCTATAAACAAATACAGAGGTTTTCATGTCTTCTGCCTTAGGAGAACCCACTCCTCTGTGCCCTGCCTCTTCTGTCTGTTACCATCCCCAAGCACACAACCAACCCAAACTGGTCACAGTGTCTTAGAAAGAGTTTTGCCTTTTAGAGCTAAACGAGGAAAAGCGGGTGGAGCTAAGTCACGTGACTGTGAGTGCTGCGACCAGAGCTCAAAACCTTTCATGGCCAAAATCAGCTATACCCTTGTCTGTCCTGCCCCTTTTCTGCTCCTAGCTGAAAGTAAGCATGGGAGTTGTTCATGAATCTTCTTATTGCCCATAGTGGAGCCATTGGCTAATACTCCCACATAGAATTCAATCCCATGGTCCACTGTACCAGTCCAAGCTACGCCCACCCGCACCTGGATCCCTGCAGTCCTGTCAATCACTCAGGGCCCAACCCTAGTAAAAGTCCTCATCGCTGCGCTGCTGTCGTCATCTTGAAATTTTAATATTGTGACAGAACATGTCTTATTTTTCCTTTGCACAAGGCCCTGCAAACTATATGGCTGTCCCTACTGGTGGTTTCTTCTAAAGCATAAGACCCATGAGGATGGGCCCTGTGGCTTTTTTAATATATGGATGAGCACAGAATCCGTTCGGGTTCTTTATCCAGGCCTGACCATGATGCAACCGGAACAAAGCTTGAGCTGCCTGTTACTGAATATTTAAGCTTTATTCGGAGGGCCAGGGACCGGAGCAGACTGCAGTAACACTCTTAACCCCGCCTTTCCACTTCTCAAGCCAGCACCGTTACTGAAAATGAGGCAGTCCGTCTCGAGTCTCTGTATCTCTGGTCAGGAGCTCCCGCGGTTATCTTTCTGGACATCTGGACCTAGGCACTTACCAGTCAGCTCTTTGTACTCCTCCAGGTGCTGCCTGGGCAGAAGAGTTAGAACAAACAAACCATTAATAATGCATGTATGCAGATTAGCTCAGAGCAAGCCAACCATTAGCTGTACAGAGGTGCGTGCTCCTTTCTGTAGCATGAAATACCGGTTGCCCCAAACTGCCCTCCCATCCCCCACCAATGCCAGAAAATGCAGCCAGTCCCTGGCATGGGGCATTTCATCTTGGGATTTGCAAACCCTACAGTGGTTTTGAAAGCAACGCATGCTCAGCCGAGCCTCATTTCACATTTCATATTTGAGTCTATTCGTAAGCCAGCAATATGTGAAATAATTTTCTCACGATGTACAGCAGCAGCCATCAAGACTCCCAGACAGCCTTTAGGCTGAAGGAAGATGGCCACATTCTATGGTATACTGTGCGCTGAGGGTCTCCCCAACTGTGTAGAAGATCCTGGAGCTACTGTCTACTGCATCTATTAGTACTTCCGGTGTCCTGAGGTTCATCAGGGCACAACCCATTAGAAGTTGAGGATTGGATCCTGTTTGCTCTTATTCTGGCTAGGGTCATACTGACTCCTACCATGGGACCTTCTGACCTCTCCAGAATCCAGGCAGGAAGCCACCAGGTTCACAGCAGGGTACCAGGGGTCTACTGCCCAACACCGTTCCCAAGGACAGTGCTGTGCCTTTTATGGTCCTTAAATGTTTCTGCTGCTGCCTCCCTAGCACCTGGCGGGGTGCCTGGCATCTAGTAGGCGCTTAATAAATATTTCTTGAGTGAATACATAAATTCATCCAATCATTCTGTGACTAAATGGGTTTTGAATGGGTATTGCCAGGCTCTTTACTATGCAAATACAGGTGTTTAAGATTCTGCATCTTGATGAGCTGCAAATGGGCTGACAGGAATCCCTGCATTCAAGACTGCCTATATAATTTGTGGGTTCAGATGTAAAATGAAGATCCTGGATTCCAGGCTCAGAATACAGACCCAAAAGATTTTGAAACAACCCTCCCTCCCCTATCACCATCAGGTTTGGGTTGTCACTGTTTGGCATTAATTATTTAATATTGCCCTCTGCTGTGCATGGAGACACCCTGGAATAACTGAAACCTCATGCAAGGATCTCGGGCTTGCAACTAAGTCTGGCTCTCCCTGTGTTCACTCCCAAGCCCTTGTCAGAAATGAAGGGTGACCTGGTTAGTAGACTGAGGCAGAACGGGACTGATATCCAACCCCAGGAAGTCTGGGAAGTGGAGAGTTAAGAGGATGCTGGCTAGCTAAAAGTGGGGTCCCCAGTGACTCCTGGCTCCAAGTCCCTAGACATAATTTGCAATGCATGCGACTGGTAGACTTGCTTAGACTTTCAAGAGGTCAGCTGTCAGATACTGTGCCTCCAGGTCACAGGCCCCTGAGTGACTGGCACTGATCCCACCACACCTTTATGGGATGTGGACTTCTCTCTAGTTCTTCACTGTTCACAGACACTCCACAACCACAGCAGGTTAGTCCCCAGGGCTGCTGGAGCATAGATGGAAACTTCTCTCCTTCTCTCCACAGGGGCTGTGAGGGCCTCCAGTGTCTTCCCCATCCTCAGCGTCACTCTGCTGTTTTTCGGGGGACTCTGCGTGGCTGCCAGCGAGTTCCACCGCAGCAGGCACAGTGTTATCCTCAGCGCAGGCATCTTCTTCGTCTCTGCAGGTGAGTGTCTTGCCTTGAGATGTAACCCGACAACAAACCAAAGCCAGAGCCACACCGATAGTGAATGATCGGCCTGTGTGCAGTTGAGGATTCCATTAGACAGTAAGAGCCCAGACTCTAGCCCAGGCTGCTGTAATACAAGGAGGAGACACTATGTCAGAATCTATGAGACAAAGACAAGAGCAGCCAAGACTACGGAGGCTGAGCCACCAATTCCAGGCCAGCCTGGGCTGCATAGTGAAACCCTAAAGAGAGAGGGAAGGAGGGAATAAGGAAGGCATAAGAAAAAGAGACAGAAGGAGGGAAGAGGAAGAGAAGAGATATGGGGATGGAGAAGAGTTGAGAAGACCTTTGAGATGCCTGCTTGCCAGTCAATTAGTGTTCACAATCTTTCAAGCTCACAAGTCCCCATATCCTCCCAAGCATCTCTGGAGAGAACAAAGGCAATAGCCTCAGATGTTCATGGGGAAGACCTGGTTATCCAGCCACATCAGCTGAGCAGGAGGAAGTGCAAGGTAAACAGGAGATGTCTTCATTTCAGTATTATTGCTGTGAAGAGACACCATGACCAAAGCAACTCTTATAAAGGCAAACATTTAAGTGGAGCTGACTTAACGTTTTCTGAGGTTCAGTCCATTATGGTCATGTCAGAGAAGCAGGGCATCATGCAGGCAGACTTGGTCCTGGAGGAGTTGAGAGTTCTACATCTTGATCCAAAAGCATCCAGGTAGAGGATCTCTTCTGAAGACAGCCAGAGGAGGCTCTCTTCCACATTGGGTGGCTCGCCTACACAATGACACACTTCCTCCAACAAGGCCACACCTATCCCAACAAGGCCACGCCTTCTAAAAGTGCCACTTCCTGTGGGCCAAGCATATTCAAACCACCACAACTACCTTCAGAAATGTGTCCTATTTTGCTACCTTCTCTCCCTCACCACCACCTCCCCTCCTCCTCCGATGTCCTCATCTTCCTCTCCTTCTGGGTTTCCATATTTCCTGTCATGTCTTTGTCATCCCTTCACATCCCTCCCGGCTCCAGATAGGTCAATATCAACAGGACGGAAGACTTTAGAGAAGCAGAGAACAAGGAAAGTTGACTCCTCACTTTTCTCATTGTTGCAACAAAGTATCTGGCAAAAGCTGCCTAGGGAAGAAAGGGTTTCTTTTGGCTCACAGTTTAAGGGTACAGTCGGTCATGGTGAAGAAAGCAGGAGCATAAGGCCCCTGGTCCCACTGCCCACAGTCAGGAAGCAGAGAGAGAGAGATGAGCATATGTTGAGCTTGCTTAATTACTTTCTTCATTTTATTCAATCCAGGACCCCACACCGCAGGAAGATGCCTTCCACATTTAGAGTGGCTCTTCCCACCTTAATCAATACAGCCTCAAGTGTCCCTCGCAGATAATACTCAGGTTTTCCTCTTAGAAGACTCTAGATACTGTCAAGTTGACAGTTATTATTAACCACCATAGCAGGGGAGAGGAAGACAGCTTTGGTGGCGACCTTCAAACTGTTATTCAGTGGTCCCCTTTTATCTATAGGAATACTTCCCGAAGACCATAGTGGATCCTGAAACCAGAGAGTAGTATCAAATCCTGTATGCACTATAGTCACTCTGTAACAATATACACATGAAAGTATACCGCATATCTTAGAGAGAGTAAGAACTTAGGTATTAAAATAGAAGAGTCATAATAAACTGTAACAAGGTTATTTAAAGCATACAGATTGCTTCTTTCTGGAATTTCCTTGCATTATTTCCAGACCAAAGTTGGCTGTAAATAAGTGACAGTTTTGAAATTTGAGCTCTTGCTCCACCTGTGTGGCCTTAGGAACTCTCCCCCACCTGCTGGTACCTCGGCTTCCTCACCTCCAGCACAGCAAAGAGCAGTGGCTCCCACTTCACAGAGCAGCTGGAAGGACGGACGCTGGACGTGCAAGTCACACTGTCATTTTCTACTATTGCAGAAACAGCAAGGAGACGTTGTCAAGCATGAAACCCAGCATCCTGGTCCCCCATCAGGCCTTGCACAGGCTCTTCCCCACACTGTTTCCCCTTCTGCAAAGTTGGCGAGACAGCATCCCACTCTCACCCTCAGAGAGCTCAATCAAGTTACAGACCAGGGAGGAGAAAGTCCTGTCCTTATTCAGGACACAGGTCAGCCAGAGGTAGCTATGGCTTCTGTCACCATGCTCTGTGGTGACAGGCATTAACTAGAAAACCCAGAGGCTTAGCTGCTTTTGAGGAATGTTCCTCCCACTGGTAGCCCTGTCTTCGGCTCTGGCTGACCAACCAGGAGAATCTGCACCAGTGTTGTGCTGATGTGACAGTTTACAAAGAACAGATAAGATCATTATTTTGTCCCCCTAGGGGGTTGTTAGGGGAAAGTGTCATCAGCTACTTTCTTTGCATGGGAGTATTGTGAGGGATGACAGGTAGGTTAGATGCAGCGGACTATGAGTGCCCTGAGGGAATACTTGTCTAGGATTAGAGCCCCCTCCCCCTCTGGAGCACCAAGAGCCTCAAATTTTCCACCGATATGACAGTATTAGAAGACCCCATGCTCCTTAAGGCCCTTTATGTGCTAAAGTTTATGGCTTTTATTGAGCACTTCCTGTGTCCTGGGCCTGATAACAAGGTCCAAATGCATGAGCTCTGAAGCCAGGCTACCCAGTGCTAATCTCCCCCCTCTTCTATATTTTCATTGTATAGCATGAGGCAAGTCACTAAACTGTTCTGTGCCTCAGTTCGCCCACCTAAAAGGCCCAGGTCATAATGATCCTGCCTCTAGAGCCTAGTTAAAGGATTAGATGAGTTGGTACACATAACTGAGCCCAAAACTGTGGCTAGCACCCAGTGTGACTCAACATAAAGTAACTGTTATGTGTGTTTAATGTGTGCATCAATTCTATCCACTCATTCATTTACTCCTTCATCCAATCAACACACCATGCGTTCTTGCTTTGGGTCAAGCTCTGGGCTAGAAGCGGGGGCAACAGTGATGAGCAAGTGTCTTGTCCTTACTGAAATCTCAACCCACCATGGCTAAGAGTCTTGGGTTCAAATTCTGCTTTGATCATTTCCTAGCTTGTGTTGGCATGGAAACTTACTAATCCATGTTACTCCCCCATCAATAGAAGGAAAAATACAATGATTCACTGAACTGGTGAAGGAAAGACTCGTAGCTAGGAGTGGGTAGCCGAATGGTACTGCACTCGCCTGGCATGTTTGATGCCCTGGTACCATCGCCAGCATCATAACATAAATAAGACAAGTCACTAAAGACACTACTCAGTGTCTGGCTCAGAATAAATATCCCTCGAATGACTGATAACTTGTTTGGCTTCCTGCCTCTTAAAACCAGTTGGACATTTGAGCATCTCTGTGAACTTTCCTACCCTGCCCCCCCCAACAAAGTCCTCTTTTCTGGGACTTTCTAAACTTTGTCACACATATTTCCCTGCTGTCAGAGGGGAGAGAGAGAAGTGCCCCTGGGCACTTGGGGCATCGACAGAGGCATCAGTCAGCTGAAGTCTCTTTGAAGTCAGTTTCCCACCTAACTGAAAAATTCATGTGAATTCTGCTTTTTCCTCCTTATTATATCCTTGTTCATTTTAATATAAAAGAATGTGTCTTCCAGTAATCATCCAGGCAAATTGACACTTGGGGGAAAGAAGCCAGTTTTTATCTGGGAGGGGGTGTTGGGGGTGTGTGAGCAGTGCAGCCTGACAGAGCCAGGTCTGTCATCTCTTGTATTAGGTGTATCTCACTGATCAGAACCTGATGCCTACCTCAGAAAGCCTGTGCCAGGAAAGGTCAGGAAAGTACATGGTGCAGAGGTGGAACTCAGCCTTTCCCTGCTAGAGGCAAGCCCTAGATTGAGTAACCAGGGTCATATGCAAACTGTTGGTAAGACCTCACACATAGGCACCAGACAATCAGAATGGTGGCACTGAATCAACTCTGCTTGGCAAAGCTTTGTTTTCTACCTTAAGGTTTATTTTATTTTTATTTATGTGTGTTGGAGGTGGGTGCCTATACAGGCCAGAATAGGACATGGGACTCCCCCCCACCAGAGCTGAAGTTACAGGCAGCTTTAAGCCACTAGATGTGGGTTCTAGGAAGTGAATGTTGGGCCTCTGAAAGATCAGCAAGCCGTTTGTGTAGCCTCTAGACAGAGCTTTAAGATAACCATTTAGTTGTACAACCTTAGGGATATCTTGAGAACTTCAGGACATTTGAGGAGTGGGAGGGAGGACTCAACAGAGAAGCTCCAGGAAAAGTTACTAATCAACTGATACTAGGGCCTGCAGAGAAGGGTGGACAGACTCCATACAGTGCTACCTGACAGGGAGTGAAATTTTAGATGCAAGGAGATGCCAGCTGGTACACTAACTCCCTCGGTCATTGTTGGCAGCAAGGCTGAGCCCCTGACATAAAGATACAAAAAGAGATGTTTTGGAGCACTACTGTGAGTCAGGAAAGTGAGGATGAGTAGGAACCTGAGTTCTGCTCCTTCTCACCATTGCCCAGGGAGTCAGTTCCTCTCCTAAGTGGTGAGCAGCTGGTTATTCCCAATGTAGCCTGTTGCCACTTGAGAAAAGTATGTGTATTAATAAGCCAAGGCTCTCTAGAGAAACACAATGGCATGGAGCAATATTGGGTTAGCTTACACCCAAAAGAAGTAAGTAATCCAGTAATATTTGCATGCTAGAAAAGCAGAAAGCCTCTGCATCGCTCAGTCCAAGGAGCTGGAAGCCTCAATAGTCCCAATCTGTACTGAAGGCCTAGAAGCTCCCTGGAAAGATCTGGTGTTGAGTCCATGTTCAAAGGCCGAAGAGGCTGAGGTCCACTGTCGGGGGACCATGGCACAGCAACAGATACAGTAACTGGAGTTTGCATGTGTGTTGTGACTGGGTCCTCCACCCCTCAGCCTATTAGAAGGCTTTTCTAAAATTCAGGTTGGATGGTCAAGTTGATAATCAAGAGGTAGGAGTGAGTCCTCGGGGTTAATAGCTTTGTGTACTCTAATTACTGGTGTGCCAACAACAGCTGACCTCAAGTGTAACTTATTCTGTGCAGAAAAGAAAAAGACTTGGAGGTCATGGGTCTAACTCAGCGGTAGAATATTAGCCTAGTCCATACAAAGTTCTAGGTTCCGTTCATTGCACTGAGCCCCTCTGCCCCCCACAAAAAAAGATTTAAGTGATCTTCCTTCCTCCAGTAGTTCATTCACCTCCAGCCTACGGTTGCACCCTGTGTGTGTCTAGCAGGCTCTCACCAACATCTCTAACTCCATGTATCTAGCATGCCCTATTCCCTAGCTGGTCCTCCGTGCTGGACAGGATGCCATCAGCCTTGTCAGCATCCAGGCTATGCCCTTGCAAGTCATTCTCTGTCCCTTCTCTCACACTTCATGGTCCACAGACTTGCTTCTCCTGTCAGCTGTCAGGATCCATCTCAGATCCCACCAGGACTTCAAAGGAAGGCTCTCTCTCTCTCTCTCTCTCTCTCTCTCTCTCTCTCTCTCTCTCTCTCCTTTTCTCCTCCTCTCTCTCCCCCTCTCCCTCAGTCACCTCATATGCATCTCTGATGGGGTCCTTGTTCCATTATGCTCCCATTACATTTCCATGTCAGCCTCTTCAGCTGCCGGTGAGAAAGTCAAGGTCAGGGACCCATATCTTGTTCATTTTGCCATTCATGTGAGTTAGTGTCAAGGTTAAGTGGTGATGGAGTGAGTTATTTCCAGGGGGAAATGAGTACGTTCTGGGCTCTCCAGAATACGTAGACAAAGTCTTCTTTAGCTGACAGTGCCCTGCCCAGGACTGAGCATCAGAATTCTTTATTTCCCAACAGACAACCTTTGCAGGAAGAACTCAGCTGTGGGATTCATTGCCTCCTCTCCCTGTTATCTCCACATGTTCTATCTCAACGCTAAAAATGGTCATTGCCTCTGAGGTTTTATGGTATGTGTGTTTTCTTTTCCTTTTCTCTCAGGGCTAAGCAACATCATCGGCATCATAGTTTATATCTCAGCCAATGCTGGAGACCCTGGGCAGAGGGACTCTAAAAAGAGCTACTCCTACGGCTGGTCCTTTTATTTTGGAGCCTTCTCTTTCATCATCGCGGAAATTGTGGGCGTGGTCGCCGTGCACATCTACATTGAGAAGCATCAGCAGTTGCGTGCAAGATCCCATTCAGAGCTCCTGAAGAAGTCTACATTTGCGCGCCTGCCGCCCTACAGGTATAGATTCCGAAGACGGTCAAGTTCTCGCTCCACTGAACCTAGATCCCGAGACCTGTCTCCCATCAGCAAAGGCTTCCACACCATTCCTTCCACCGACATCTCCATGTTCACCCTCTCCCGGGACCCCTCTAAGCTTACCATGGGGACCCTTCTCAACTCTGACCGGGACCATGCTTTTCTACAGTTCCACAACTCCACACCCAAAGAGTTCAAAGAGTCATTGCATAACAATCCAGCCAACAGACGTACCACGCCTGTCTGAGCTGACCTCTGACCTCTGCCCCGCTGCCCAGCACAGCCTTGGGGGAAGTGTACACAGATGTCTCTAAGGTTGCATGGCATGGTCCTCGTGATGGTATCACTTCTTACAAAGACCGAAACCAAATGGACTCAGCCCCTCCCACAGTGCTCCCTCATCCCCCAGACCTTAACCCGTCCACCTCCCCTGACTTTTCTCGCTGGTCCCTTAATGTTACTCCTCTCTGTGTATCTGTGCCAAGTGTTTTCTTTTCTTCCTTCTTTGCTGGAAGGACCACGACATTCTTCCCTCCTTGGGAAAGGACTTGACTAAAGTCGAAGGTGCAGTCATAGCAGTGGGGGATTTCCAAATCCCCTGTCAGTTGTATGCATAGGTGTTCCCATTGTCCACCCACACAAACTCTCCGTGAAACCCACCACATAGGTGGCCCTGAGAGAGGCATTCACCTTTAAGTGTTAGAAAAACATGACCAGAAATCAGATGTCAGTGCCCCGAAGCAGCTCATGTAATAAGCACTCATGTTATTAAAGGTTTTTGCCTTGTAACCAATGGAGCTGGGGGTGTTTGGTTTTGTTTCCTGAGTATTTCCTACACACATTTGCTCTCCCACCACCAGCCCGGCTCAGGTCTCTCTCAGAAACCACACTTTTCTCTTCCTCTTTCTAGCCATGAGGAATGATTTCCCCTTTTACTTGAGGCCCTTAAGATCTTCTCCGTAGCCTTTTCCTGCCAGTTGAACCTCTGGGTGGCTCCTGGGGGAGTGGGGGATGCTGGCCATTCAAGATCTAACTCTGATATTCAGAGCTCTTGACCTTCAAACCTCAGCCTCCTCATCTGAAACAGAAGTGTGAGGCTTAAGTAAGGTCTGTATGTGTAACGATTAGTAATTTAAAAGGATCACATATGCATTTATGTACAGTTTTTAGACAGGGTCTCATGGTGTCAGGCTGGCCCCAAACCTGCTGTATAACAAAGGATGCCTTTAAACTTCCTAAGTCTCTTGTCTCCACCTCCTAAGTTCTGGGACCACAGGTGTGCACCACCACACTTAGTCTGAATGTGGTGCTGAGAACTGGACATGGCAGGTGGGGACTCTATCAAAATCCCCAGTCCAGGAATCAGAGAGAGACAGAGAGACAGAGAGACAGAGAGAGAGAGAGACAGAGAGACAGAGAGAGAGAGAGAGAGACAGAGAGACAGAGAGAGAGAGACAGAGACAGAGACAGAGACAGAGAGAGACAGAGACACAGACAGATTAGACAGATGATGGATATATATATATATATGTATATATATATATATATATATATAATTTTATACATGGATTCTAGGTAGCGTGAAAATATATCTTGCACTAGATAGCTTAAACAACAGGCATTTCTTTCTCATAGCTCTAGACCATTACTTCTCAACCTGTGTAGATCGAAACCCCTTTGGGGGTCAATCAACCCTTTCACAGAGGTCACATATCAGACATTTATATTCTGATTCATATCAGAAGCAAAGTTGTAGTTAGGAGGTAGCAATGAAAATAATTTTATGGTTGGGGGTCACCATACCATGAGAAACTGCATTAAAGGGTTGCAGTGCTAGGAAGGCTGAGAACCACCGATCTAGAGTCTGAGACATCCAAGGTCAAGGTATCTGTATATTTGGCTCTAGGCAAGAACCCATATCCTGGCTTGTAGACAGCTCCCTTCTTGTGCCCTCATGTGGTGTGTTAGAGGTAGTATCTCTTTTATTCTTATGAACTACTAATGTCATGGGGTAGGTGGGCATACCTATGACCTCATTAACCCCACGGACCTTTCCAAGGTTTTGCTTTCATATCCCATCTCACTGAGATTTAAGGCTTCAATACATAAATCTGAAGAGGCCATGACACACCAACACTGGAGAAAACATTATAAAAGACAATGGAGGTGATTCTGTATGAAGGGAGGGAAGGGTATTCTCTGGGGCCTTTAAGAGCAGACAGTGAGGGCACAGCCGAATAGTTATTTAAGTTTTAAAAGCAGGAATGGTTTCACCCCTCTGCCAATATAGTGTCGTAGAGTGTTTTGGGCACGTATCCAAGGCTTCACATTTCCACAGAACTTGCTCCCCTAGGATGCAGCCCCAGTGGAAGGCAGGGTCATTGTCCTAAGTGCTCACACTTGGCAGCCCAGTCACTCGAGACTATATACCTGTTTAAAAAAGACAAAGGTTGAACCTCCCAGGAGACCCATAAAGATCATATTGCTAATATCATCATGGACCGACGAGGCAAATAAAGCAGGAGAGGATAAGAGACTTGCCAAGATTCCTTCCTATGGTGTGCTCAAAGTCCCAACAACTTAGGACTTTAATTTGAATCTCATTATAAAGTGCACAGTATAGGTGGGATGGGACGGGGAAATGACTTAGTGGGTAAAAGCACTTGCCGCCAAGCCTGATGACAAGAATTTGGTCTCAGAACCCAAAAGGAGAACGCGACTGGTGTAAGCACATGCACCCCAACCTCCACCTCCACCCCCAGTAAATAAAGTTTAAAATAGTGCACACTGGAAACAATTAATTTTATTTGATGCTTAGCAGCTGCTGTATGCAGCTGACATGAATCTCCAATTATCTTTTTAGTCATCAAAATATCCTCATGTTCTAGAAATCACTTTCTCCATCTGAGTATGAGAGAGTAGAGACTTGAGGTGTGTAAGCTACCTTGGGTGCTAATAGGCAGAGTCATGTTTGTAGCCGGGCCTTCCTACATGAAGCAGGATCCCCTTCTCTGCTAGCACTGTTCAAACCTCAGCCACCTGAGCATGCTTTATGAGATGGCTCCTACCCCCGTATCATAACAATTATGTACCTAATATTTTCTTTAAATAAATTCAGCTTTTCTTTCCCTAAACAGATTTTTGGAGACACTTATATATAGTTTATCACCAGAAAGTGGAATTAATTCAAATAAGCAAACAGTAACTGGAAAAAGTACAACAAAAGTAAAATAGTAGTGCTGTCTTCTAGCTGTTGCTGGCTCTGTAGCTTCTCTTTAACAAAAGCGTATCACCAAACTTTGGGAGCAGTAAGGAGAGCCTAGCTCGGGAAGCTGCCTCTTCCCTTGGCTTAATGAACAGGAACAGGAAAGAGAAGGAGGAAGGAGTATCGCTTGGTGATGTGATGCTGTGCTAGAGGACCATCTTCCTCTACATGTGGGCTGCAGACAGCCTTGGGGAGGAAGGGATCTAGTGAACGGAGTGGGAGGTGGCATCCACTGTGAGGAGGGAACAGCAGTTCCAGGCCACCCTGGGAACCAGGAGTTAATTGAGATTGGGGGATCTGGGTCAGTGGTTCACTAGCTAGGTGCTGACCCAGAACATCAATGTGAAGCTATTGTGCAAAAGCTGAGAGATAGAGGAGAGATATGGGTCCCTTACTCCTGGGAGGACCCTTTGTGCCATCTCTAGGCTGCTCCTGGCAAAGGTTTGGCATCAGGGGCTCACCTGCCTGGCATCACGTATACATTAAGAGCATCCCCAGGTTGCAACCAGGATTCTGGTCAATCCTCATCATCAGAATCTCCATGAGAACGGCTGAGGAGATGTCCCAGTCAGTAAAGTGCTTGCTGTTCACCAGAGTTCAATCTCCAGAGTGCAGGTAAAGTCTCCAGGTGCAGTGGTACTCACCAACAAATCCAGGAGACAAGAGGATTCCTGGTGATCACTAGCCAGCCAGTCTAGTCAAACTGTCAAGCCTCAGGCTAGTGAGAAAACACTGTCTCAAAAAAAAACCAAAAAAACAAACAAACCACGGTAGATGACTCCTGAGAAACAACATGAAATGTTGTTCTCTGACTTCCATATGTATGCACACTCATGGGTAGGAACACTCCCATACATGTGCAAATACACACTTGTGCCTGTACACACACACACAAACACACACAAACACACATACACCCTTCCCCCACACCAGTCCTTTACCCTCCACGTCAAACACCATGTTAGAAACGTCATTTACTTTGTCCTGTTGAGTCCTAACCTTTGAGGCAGTTATTAAACCCTTGGATAGAGTTGAACTAAGAAAATACATAGCAACACAGAAGCACGACCCATGCCTGGAATAGTAAATATAAATTGAGATTAATTGATTAATTGTGCATTGCCGGACCCCAGAGCCTATGCGACAGCCATCACGGAGATTTCCCGGCGGCTCCATCCTGCCGCACTCCATCTCCTCTGCCAAAGCTGGGTCCCTTCCAACTCACCATTTCTCGACCAGCAACATTCTTCTGCCAACCTCAGAACCAGAGCCGCTGGCTTCTCCGCCACTTTTCAGTATGCGGTCCTCTCCCTCACCTTGAGAACAGATCCTTTGTGGTTTCTCGAGGGGAAAGCTGGCGTGTCCTGGTGTTCAAGCCCCACTCTGCGCAGCTGTATCTGCCCATGTTTAAACCCACAAGGTCCTGAGTTGAATCCCCATCACTAGAACCAGTTAACTGGCTGACCAAACAATAAAATAAAAATAGGAATCAATTTTTTCTAGAATGGTTGAGTTTGTAGTCATAAATCACTTGGAAAAGAAACTGAAGTATCATACCCATATGAGCCATTCTCTACCTCCGCCCTCGGCATGGAGATGGTGGAAGCAGGAGGATTATGAGAATAGGACAATCATGGGCTACATAACAAGACCCTGTTTCAAAAAATAGCAACAAAAAAAAAGTAAAGTATTGCTACTTCATATTGTTCTCAAGTTTCCATCTCTCCTCTTGGGTCCTCCTCTCTACAAGTTGTCCACATTCACCCAGCTCTAGTCAGGCTACTGTGTCACAGTACCCTGGCTATATCACACTGATTCCCAGTTCTTTGCCTTATTAATAAATCTTATCCCTGCTTGCAATATCTTGGCTTCTCCTTCCCCAATCCTCCCCCTGCAAGCCAAGCCCAAGCCCCCACACTTTCTGTGAAGCCTTTACTGCAGTTAGTCCCTGGCCACATAGTCTCCACTTTTTTTTTTTTTTTTTTTTTTTTTTTTTAATTTCCTTTTTTTTTTTTGAAACATGAATGGCTTTTTTTTTATAGCATGTTTTACAAGGGGAGGGGGTAAGAGGGTCCAGGTGGTGGAAAAGTACAAAATCTTCTTGGCCTGTGCCTTGAAACATGTCATGGTCTATATGGTACACTGCCTTGAATTATGATCTACCTGCAGTTCTTCAGAAGATATGGTACACTGCTTGAGTTATGGTCTCCCTGCTATTCTTAAGAAGACATGGTACTCTGCTTTGAGTCTATCTGCAGTTGCTAAGCAGGATCTTGCAGTTGCCAAGCTTCAGAGGACATTGTGCAGGTGGGGAAAGGTAGGGGGTAAGGGTAAGGGCGAGGGTCCTGGCTTCTGGCATCTCCCCCTTCTCTGTTTAGTTAGAGAAGTTGTCTTATGTTCAATCCCAACTATGTGAGTTTTGAATTTGGATGTCTAATTATGGGGGGTCTTAGACAAGTTCACAACCCCAAAACACTGATGTGAGACGAGTCACATCGATGGTCGAAGGCTTTAGGCTGTCGACGATG